GTAATCATCTGCATACACCATATGCATCCATCAACCGGAGAGGGAATTGAGACAGGCATTTAAAGTATTGGTTATATAATGTCAATACGTATTAAAGTATTAAACTGTTAAACTTTTTTGCCCTCTTTTTACAGGCCTACCTGAACATTGGTTTCAGGCACACCACAACCGATTTACACCACCCCTACTATATCTCGGCTTATTGTCCCTGACTAAAATGGGAAGGCTGAGCCGTAGGTGGAGTCTGAAATTGTGGGAAGGGTTACCTGGCCAATAAATACACAGGCCTCCCCTTACTCTGGGACGATACTTCCTGGTTCAGCCCACTCACCGCTCCCTTTATCAAGCCATTCAATTTTGATGGACCCTCTTTTTATAGGCCTACCTGAACATCAGTTTTGGTCACACCACAACCAATTTACACCACCACTACTATAACTCTGCCTATTATCCCTGACTACAAATATATATACATATATATATATATATATATATATATATATATATATACACACACACAGGGATGCCATCCTGGGCCCAGTCGCACTATTAAAGGGCCAGAGCACTGACCGGGCCCCTGAAGACATATGCTCATTGGATGGCCCTAAGTGTATGAGCGATCCTACATTTGGAGCCCGCTCGCTGATGGGGCTAATCAGGTAGCCCCTGCACTTTTCTGATTTTTTTTATGCTGTCCTAATAAAAGTTCCTGTAGAGAATTGAAATGTTGATCGACCTTTATGGAATCTGAGCAATAAAGCTGAAAAATACTTGGAAATCCTAGGATTGCTGGTATTTCTGTGAAATTATAATTATGTGTTACTGAGCACCAGGTAAAATCTGTATTGAAGTAGGAGTGCGAAAGCTTTGACATATATCTACAGGGTAGCCCAAAATGCAGAGTTGGGTTTGAGAAGTCAATAACTTTTTTTTTTTATTAATTAATAAATCTAAATCATATTACATAATACAAAACATATGGCGACTTGTGTTTACTAGGAATGGAAGGTGACATCTTTTAAATGAGCTCCATTTGCTGAATTGCGAAGTCTCTTTCGGTTGTTCATTGTTCATAACATTAGTCAATGTTTGAGGCTCTAGCACTCAAATTTCTGTATGGATAATCTCCTTGAACTGCTCAAGTATAGGCAGTCTGTTCATGTTCTTCACCCTCTCCAGATATCTCCAAAGGAAGTTATGCTAAAGAGTTGAGTAACAGGTAAGACAAAGACCTCTTATTAAAGAAATACTATAGTCACCAGAACCACTATAGTTTAATATAGTGATTCTGGTGTCTATAGCCTGTTCCTGCAGGCTGAGCACTGTTCATGCTGCCTTTTCAGGGAAACGGCAGTGTTTACATTGCTGCCTATGAACAACTATAGTATTAGTCACTCAGATGGCAGCTAAAGGTGCCTCCCAGTCTATGCTGCGAGTCTCCACGCTATGTATGGACGCACTGAATGCTTCCCATAGAGATGTGAGCTTCCCATGTAAGCAAGATATTACTTTGCTACAGAGGGATTTAGATAGACTGGGGGACTGGGCACTCAAATGACAGATGAAATTGAATGTTGAAAAATGCAAAGTTATGCACTTCGGTGTAAAGAATGCACAAGCAACGTGTACCCTTAATGGAAGCGAATTAAAGATAACAACACACGAAAAGGACTTGGAAATTGTTAAAGACAACAAACTATGCAACAATGTGCAATGTCAATCAGCAGTGGCTAAGGTCAGTAAGGTATTGTCATGCATGAAAAAGGGCAGGAGGAGAATATAATTTTGCCTCTTTATAAATCGCTAGTAAGACCACATATTGGATATGCTGTGCAATTTTGGGCACCTGTTCTAAAAAAAAATATTATGGCACTAGAAAAAGTGCAGAGGCAGGCTACAAAATTAATAAAAGGAATGGAACATATCAGCTATGAAGAAAGGTTAACAAATTTAGATTAGAAAAACGTCGCCTGAGAGGGGATATGATAACATTATACAAATATATTCGGGGCCAATACAAACGATTGTGTGGAAATCTATTCACAAACCGGACTTTACATAGGACACGAGGTCATGCGTTTAGACTGGAAGAAAGAAGATTTCGTCTAAAGCAAAGGAAAGGTTTTTTTACTGTAAGAACAATAAGGATGTGGAATTCTTTGCCTGAAGAAATGGTTTTATCAGAGTCCATACAGATGTTCAAACAGCAACTAGATGCATACTTGCAAAAACAGAATATTCAAGGATATCATTTTTAAATGTAGGGTAATAGCTTCTTGATCCAAGGATAAATCTGACAGCCCTTCTGGGGTCAAGAAGTAATTTTTTTCCTAGTTTGTTGCAAAATTGGAAGTGCCTCAAGCAAGGGTTTTTTTGCCTTCTTTTGGATCAACAGCAAAAAACAAATGTGAGGAAGGCTGAACTTGATGGACACATGTCTCTTTTCAGCTATGTAACTATGAGGAGATTCTGATTGGCACGGTACAGTGTTTTTCCACACATACACAATAGCCTTCATTGGGAGAAAATTGGTTTGGCTCATATCCTCAAGTTTGATGATCTCAGCCAAAGTGAAGAGCACACTCATAGGACTTATAACTAAGACAACAGCATACATTCACCGTTTCAGTTCCATTACCAAACTTATCCGAATATGGCAAGGTAGTTGGACTCAAACATTGATTATATGCAAATGCTTAAAATAAACTCACTCTTTTGTTTATTTTATGAGTGCTTTCATTCATATCAGAATAATAGTTTTTAGTTTTTTCCCCCCGTCTATGTCTGCATTATTGGGCTGGCATAGAATTTTGCTCCAAGTTCTGCCCTGCTAACAGAACATGCACTGCTATAGCACATTTGCAAAGACATAACAAGTATGTCTGAGTATTGTACTGTATAGTATATTGCACAATAAACCTGACCAAAAAAATTGGGAGATGATGCTGCCTGAGTAGAGTGGAACTTTACGGGTTCGTACCGAACATTAGGTTTTTTGGACCCCGGACATATCACTGTATGTTCGGGTTGGAGTTCGGTGTTCGGCGATTTAATGGCACGTTTTCAAAGCATTTAACTTGTGTGCCCTTAGAAACCATCACAGCCATGCCTACTAATGGCATGGCTGTGATTGGCCAGTGCAGCAAGTGACCCAGCCTCTATATATAAGCTGGAGTCGCGCAGCGTTGCACGCACATGCAGTCTTCTTAGTGTAGGGAGAGGATGCTGCCGCTGATAAGGACATCTTAGGAAAGAATTCTGCAAACTAGTACATTAGTGGGGTGGGGTGCACTTCATATGTGAGAGTCAAATATAAGCTTAAAATCCTGCAGTTACATCGAAGTTTTAAAAAGTCAAATTGTTTGGGTGCTAAATAGTACATTAGTGGGGTAGTACATTAGTGGGGTGCACTTCATATCTGAGAGTCAAATAGAAGCGTCAAATACTGCTGTCACATTGCAGTTTTAAAACTTAAACATTTTTGGGTCCTAACTGCTAAATAGTATTTTAGTGGGGTGCACTTCATATCTGAGAGTCAAATCGAAGTGTCTAATAGTGTGCTTACAGCGCAGTTGTAAAAATTCTAATTTTTTGGGTGCTAATCTGCTAAATAGTACATTTTGTGGCCTGCTCTTCATATCTGAGAGTCAAATCGAAGTGTCTAATACTGTGCTTACAGCACAGTGGTAAACATTCTTATTTTCTGGGTGCTAATCTGTTAAATAGTACATTTTGGGGCCTGCAGTGCACTTCATATCTGAGAGTCAAATAGAAGCGTCTAATACTGCGGTTACAGCGCAATTGTAAACATTTTAATTGTTTTGCTGCTTACATTGGAGTTTTAAAAAGTCAATTTATTTTTTTTGGTGCTAAATAGGATATTTGGGGTGTTCACTTCATATCTGAGAGTCAAATTGAAGCGTAACTTTGATTCGAATTTACTACATTGTAATATTGTTTCATACCTACAACACTTGTTACACAGATCTAAGTGATAGAAAACAGATTGATATTTTCTACACTAGAAACTACCAGATAACAAGCTGCTATATTTAAACCAGTTATCACTAGCTAAGAGGTACTTCAACAATATTGTAATTCTGAGGCAATACCCTCACAAGTCAAACTGAGAGGTCAGTTTATAGGGGGAACTGTTGCCTGGATACAATTCTAAAACAATTTCCATATGTCCTTTGCAGACTTTACATGCTGGAAAAACACAGGTGCCAACTGCTGTGGCTTTCTGCAGTGTGCATACCGGCAAGGAGAGCAGGGTTGAGGAGTGGGTGGAAGATGATGTGGAAGATGATGAGGTCCTAGACCCCACATGGAATCAAGGTCATGCGAGTGACGTGTGCAGTTTGGAGGAAGAGGTGCTGGTTGCACAGAGGCTGTCCCCTAGCGCTCGTCGGCATGTATTAGCTCGAAAATTGCCAGTTATCCAAGTAATACATGTAGCGATCAAAGGACCCATAATAGAGTTGAACGAACTGCAAAGTTTGGGTTCGTACCAGATTTAAAGATCCATTCGTAGTTTCACAGTCAGGTGGGCAGTCCGGTGACCAGGACCCAGACACTGTGTGGTCGGTTACCCTGCACCAGTCCCTGCTAATCCATTCCACACTGTGACTCCTGATGTTGAAGTTAGGAGTCACAGTATGGAATGGATTAGCAGGGTCTGGTGCAGGGTAACCGCACGCCCCCTGGTGTTGAGCACCAGCATTAGTGCGGCCACATACCAGGACCCTGATGCAGCTTCAGTAAAAGGAGTACTGGATACCAGAACCCATAACCAGACTGATCTGCAACTTGGAACAGGACCCATAACCAGACTGATCTGCAAATTCACTGTAGCGGCTGTGCGCACTTTTGTCGTTCTCACCCTGCTTCTGCTCGCCTGACTACGCTGCAGCATAACTTCCGCCTTCCCACTCACCGCCTCATGAGACTGTGCGAGCAGCAGCAGGCGATAGTGGAGTTTCAGCTGCAGCACGCAGGGGTCAGAGGCTCTGCACCAGACTTCCCTCCAATTGACCAGAGTTAAAAGATTTCAATTGAACTCATTACAATTACAGGGACTCTTAAGAGTCCTGTATTGTTATTTGTCGTCACTACCTTCCCATGTCGGGAGTGGGTAATTTGCGTGCCTGCTGCCTTCCTTGCATGTGGTAGCCGTTTCTCAGGGTCCCTGTACGGTATGGAACCCTAATTCCCCGTTACCTGTGGTCACCATGGTAGGCGCAGAAACTGGCATCGAAAGTTGATATGGATGTCATCCGCATGCAAAGTCGCCGGCACGGGGATGTGCATTTGGTCCGAGGTTCTCTAGAGTCAACAAAGTGCCTGCACAACTATAATGTCAACTATAATGTCAACAGCCGAACAGAGTTGTCTTTTTTTTTATATGTCCCAATATTTTGGGGGCTACCCCAATTAAAGAAAATGTGTATATATATATATATATATATATATGTGTAAAAAACAGTGTTGGCTACCGCATCCTCCTCCTCCACCGCTGCTTCCACCTACACCGCCACGGTCACCGCCTCCTTAACCTATGGGTCACTTAGTATTAACTAGGTACACATTAGCAGAGGCTTGTGTAGGCCTTTTCTCCATGCATCATTAGTTGAGCACTTTTCCATGCATCAGGACTGCAAGAAATGCACCGCAGGCCGCAAATGTTTCTTTTTTTGTATGTCCCAAGATTTTGTGGGCAACCACAATTAAAAAAAACATAAAAAACAGTGTTGGCTACCTCATCCTCCTCCTCCACCACCACGGTCACCGCCTCCTCAACCTATGGGTCACTTAGAATAAACTAGGTACACATTAGCAGAGGCTTGTGTAGGCCTTTTCTCCATGCATCATTAGTTGAGCATTTTTCCATGCATCAGGACTGCAAGAAATGCACCGCAGGCTGCAAATGTTTCTTTTTTTGTATGTCCCAATATTTTGTGGCCTACCACAATTAAAATAATATATATATATATATAAAAAACAGTGTTGGCTACCTCATATTCCTCCTCCACCGCTGCTTCCACCTACACCGCCACAGTCACCGCCTCCTCAACCTATGTGTCACTTCGTATAAATTATGTACACAATAGCAGAGGCTTGTGAAGGCCTTTTCTCCATGCATAAGGAGTTGAGCTCAGTTTGAACAATGCAAGAGAACACCCTGCACTCTCTCAAATGGATAATTCTGTTGATCCTCCTGACTGCCATGCTTTAGATTTTGATTTATGTTCTTCCAAAGCTAAAATCAAAGATTCCATCTAGTGCCATTTTATGGCTCAGCTGTATTTTTAATTTTTATGTTATTTTAAGTGATTTCCCTATCCACATTTGTTTGCAGGGAACTTTTTTTTTAATTTCTTTTAAAATATTTTACCAGGAAAGATACATTGAGATTTATCTCGTTTTCAAGTATGTCCTGGGTCCACAAATCATTGCATTGTTACATTAGGGTACAATAAAATACAAAAACAATATTAATACACAATAAATACAAAATTTAACAGGTAGGAAATATATAATCAACCATGACATGTGCATTCTGTTTTGAGGTATGTAGAGAGGGATCTCTTAAAGGACTTTAGGCTTAGGGAAGATTTTAAATTGTGCGGGAGGTCGTTCCACAATTGCGGTGCTCTGTAGGAGAAGGAGGATCGGGCCGCTTTCTTTTTGTATTGAGGCAGACTAAATAAAGTGTTGGTAGTGGATTGGAGGTTATATGAAGTGGGAACAGCTGGGGAAAACATTTTTGTTCAGGTAGGGTGGGAATTTCCCAGAAAAGCTCTTAAACACAAGGCTGGAAAGTTGAAGGATGCATCTGGATTCCAGCGACAGCCAGTTTAGTTCTTTTAGCATGTCACAATGGTGAGTCCTGTAATTACATTGTAGCACAAATTGGCAGAACGAGTTATGCAATGTGTTGAGTTTATTAATGTGGGATTGCGATGCAGATGCATATACTACATCCCCATAATCAATGATTGGCATCAGCATTTGCTGTACAATCTTTTCCTTTACTGTAGGGCTTAGGCAGGATTTGTTTCTGTACAGGCACCTAGTTTTGGATAAAGTTTAGATGCAAGCTTTTCTGTGTGCAGGCCAAAAGATAGATTGGGGTCTAACATCATACCCAAGTATTTGAAAGAGTGGACTGCGGTCAGTGTGCCAGGCAGAGAATGGAACCTTGGGGAACACCACACGTGACTGGGAGAGGAAGTCGCTGTCAGAAATGGACACATATTGCGAGTGATCCTATACATACGATCAAAACCAGGTTAGCGAACGATCACCAATACCTGAGTTTTTAAGTTTGTGCAGTAGAATGTCGTGGTCTACTGTGTCAAAGGCCTTAGCAAAATCAAGGAAAATAGCTCCAGTTAGGTCTCCTTGTTCCATGCCAGTTTGGATGTCATTGCAAACTTTTAAGAGGGCAGTTGTAGTGGAGTGATTCTGGCAAAAGCCCGATTGATCAGGAGTCAGATAGTTTGATTGTTGGTAGTACTCACATAGTTGCTACTTTATCCTTGTCCTACTCTTACTCCCATTTTACTTGCTTTTGCAGCTCTCTAGCTCTTTCCAGGAGTTTTTTATAGGCAATTTTGTGGCCAAAAGTTCGGGTCCCCATTGACTTCAATGGGCTTTGGATTCGGGGTCAAGTTCGGGGTCAAGTTCGAGCCCGAACCCAGACTTTTTTCAAAATTTGGCCGAACCGGCCGGACCCGAACATCCAAGTGTCCGTTCAACTCTATGCCTTCCACATATGTCATATTCTAATCAGGGAGGGCTGACAAGTTTTTGTCAGGGGCAAGAACCAATAAATAGTGCGTTAAATTTACAGATCGAATGATTTAATTAATGAAAGCTTCTGGAATTGCTAGATGTGACATCATATATCACCAAAACCTCCGTCAGTATGACCTGTGTAGCATGACGAGATATTTATAAATATTTCTGCATGCCCAAGAGTGACAGACTATTTTCTGCTATTTTATTGCCATCAATGGCAACCAGAGTATTTCATAAATGTCACGAGCATTGTCTCATTTCAGTCGGCAGTCATTTGTGGGAGCCTGGTTACATCCAGGTCCTACAGTCCAATGACAAATATACCACTGGACTTGTCCTGGCCTCGAGAATAGTGTTATTGCAGGCTACCAACCCATGTAAGCAATCTACACAATTCTGTGCTAGCATAGGACCTGCAAAGGACCTACAGCCTCATTCCTCCAGTGATGTGCCAACAAACATCCCAATGCACCTTTTGCTATTTTATCCTAAAGATGCATGGTGTGAGGCTTCAGCCCACCATTTTCCTTGCCAGCTCTCCCAAGCTGGTGGCCCAAGAAGCAATACCCCCCTTTCTTCCCTTGCCAAGCCTTCCATGACCCTAACTAATTTCCTAAACTTTGCATTTATTCAATTATATTTCAAGACATGTTGAAATTTGAATGTCATCTTTGAAATGCCACAGTATTTTTAGATTTCTCTCATCCACAAGCAAATAATTGATTTTTTTTTAATTATTATTTTTTTAGCATTTGCACTGCATTATTTCTAAGAATGTATTTCTATTATTATACAGTTTACATGTCATATGGAAGCTTAAACCATGAGGGTTAATAACGGAAAATGAATTCATATGCTTCAAGTCTGTAGTGCATCAACTGTCAAACAGCTGAAAGGTTCAGTACACTGTAACTCCAATTTTCTGTCTTCTAGATTCAATAATGTTCACATGAATGAATTGGTAATTTCTGAGAAGATATATTGCAGTTCAGTAAATAGACAGTCACTCACCAAAATATCTGCGTCAGTACTTCCATTGATTTAAAAAATTAAATAACTCGCTCAATGCAAGTTAGACATTGACAGGTCAAGGAGAAACTCGAAGGTATAATTAGCAGAAACAGAGATTAATCTTTTGCAGTGGGTAAATTGCAATGCACTCATCATTTCTGTGTGGATGCTTGCTAGTGCTGGACAGATACTTTCAATAATGTAGGTCTTCATGGCTGTGAATGAGCAGGATGTGCCCGGAAACAGTTGATTGCTCACGTGAATGTTAAAACTGGTGACAGAAGCTTTTGAGATTTATTTAGACTGCATAGAGCACCAGACAGGAAAGTCATACGGTTTCCTACAAATAAATTACACGTTCAGGTCAATACTGTTGCAACCAAACAAAGAAAAAAAAAATCTGAATTGATACAAACTTAGCTGTTTTGTCATTATGTTGTAGTTGTAAAACTGGTTTATTGTATGTGTTAAATAATTACCTGTATAAATGTATCAGGTGATCTTTTACTCAATAGACACTTATGGAAATCGAGATAAACTACTCTATAAAATTGCTGGCGATAAGCCAGATCTGAACATACATAATTTTCTGGATAGATGGATCTTTTAAAGAGTAGGGAAAAGTTTGCCTAAAAAATAATGTGAAGCCATGATAACTGTGTGACCGCTGGTTGCACACAAGGGCTAGCAGGCAAATAGTTCAAAATGGCGCCAGATCCCTATCATTCTGGATAGACCTCTGTGATATGATTTCTCTTATTAGCTCATTCAATGGTTAATTGTATAACAGATGGCCAGCTTCTGCTAGCCACCCTCTACGACAATCAAATCACTATCAAGGCAATATGAGCCCAGTACAATTGAGTAATAGAACAGGTGAGGGTTTGCTAACTAAACAGTTGAGAAACCTGTGACAATTTCTGTCAAGTTAATTTCTGTGAAGAATCATTTGTCATGTTACCTGTGATCCAAATCATCGTACCATCCTTCTGGATGTTCTGTTGAGTAATCATGATTATTCTTCATATATTTTCAAATTCAACAACGCTTTTTAAAAGTTCCAAGCACAACAGTTGAATGTAAACGTATTTCTTGATCATTTTCCAATGTAATATTGGACAATTTTCTCAAAAGTTACCGTTATTTGTTTAAAGTTGAACTCCAATGTAGTTTTGTAATGGGTTTTACATACTTTTTGCATTGATTTTATTTCTGCTGATATTCTTCTAGTGTCAGGCCCCCAAATGTTTATTCACCCCATTCTGACAGGTTATTATCACTCCTGCCTTTGTGCAGCACACTCCACAATTCACTTTTGGAAAGTAGCATTTATAGCTGGAATTTCCACAAATGATTGACTCCGTTATTATATTTTGTCCCAGCAAACTTTATATCTTAGATGTAATTTGTTTCTTTGTCTCTTTATTTCCTTTGAAGTAGAAACATAAAAGTTTGGATTCTGTGTCTTGGAATTTGTGCCTGTTCAGCAAAAAGAGCATTTGTGATGTCAGGCACCGATGTTGGGTGAGAAGGTCTGACTTGCAATCATCATTTCAATTCATCCCAAAGGTGATCAGCGAGGTTGAGGTAGGACTATGTACATGCCACTCAGGTTCACCAACACCAAATTTGTAAACCGTCTTAATGTTTTTTGTACAGGAGCACAGTCATGATGAAACAGCAATAGGTCTTCCTCAAGGTTTAAAGGGACACTCCACTGCCCAA